CCAGCCTTACGGTGTCGGCACGGGGTGCGGATGGCGGCCGGGTGCTGCAGAGGCCTTCGCGGGCCCCACGGTGCGGTTTTGCCTCTGGCCTGGAGGTTCTTCCAGGCCTCAAAGCTGGAGGGCTACCGAACCTCCCTCTGCTCCTTCGCGGGCAAACATCCATCGGAACGTACTTCTAAGACAAGTACAACTCATCCTCTTCTTGTGAATGTTCTGTCCTTTGCAGAAAACAGAAACCAAACAATTCTAAGCCAAACACAGCTGAAAGTTCATTTTTCTTCCTTGTTGCCCGGTAGCTTTATGCACATCTGCAGGTGATCTCTAAAAGCTGCTCTGAAAGAGCTTGTCTTCACTTCTAAACACTCTTCGATCACAATGTTTTAAGACGCCTCATCACAAGCCTTTCTTACTGTGGTCAGAAGTTTTTTCTTGTGATTCTTCAGCTCTTTGTCTTTTCTGTTTTTTCCATTCTCTGATTTTCTGCAACAAACTCATTAATTCCCTTTATGACATATAATTAAATAGAAATTCTTTAATGTACTCATCAACTTCCCACTGCTTATTACAGCAGTCAGGATGAATAGTACTAAAAAATCTTAATTTTTTTACTGTTGTGATTTAAAGGCAAGACTTTCCAATAAATGATACGGAGAAATAGGAGTCTCCTCATTTCTAATGGTGTGAAAAGCTAATGGTTACGGTCTCACTAAATTTAATGGAAAGCCTAAGTGTTTTCTATATTCTACTTTGAGCTACACCAGTTCTCTGTAATGGGGGTGATCTTTCTTTCTTGTAGCATTTAATGAATTTCGGAAAGAATAGAGACAAATTGAAGTTTGGTTTACATAAACTGTTATGTATGCCATTTGTGGAGAGAATGCAAGGACCGTTTTAGTTAAGCTACAGATACTATCAATTGTTCAGTGTTGCAGAAACAGACAGGATGGAAACCATAATTTCTTAATGACTGCTTTATGTGACAGTGGATGGAACACTCTGTAAGTTCATAGCTAATGAGCTATAAACTCTGCATGTAGTTTTTCAGTACTAATGTTCTTTTTTTCACTAGAAGAGCAACCTAACCTAGATCAGTTCCCAACTTGTCAAGAAGATAAGCTTTAAACTTATTTTTTAAAAAAGGAATACCACTCGCGATAGCCAGAAATGCCCAACATCAGGGTGTTTTGAGTAGCGGAATCGTTGTGTCTGCGAAGCGCCCGCAGTGCAGTCAGGGGGGGGTCCCTGCAGAAACGGGGCTTTGTAGCCAGGAGTCAGTTACACGGGAAGGGCTCTCTCTTGCGTATCTTCATGCGCTGGCATCTAATTGCAGCATGCTCTGTAGACTGTTACGTTGTCCGTCATCCCATCCCCCCCTCTGGTTGCCGGTTGTGCTGTGCATCTTACAGACAAAAACATTTTTAAGTTTTTATATGTCTGTGTCTTCATTAAATACTTCTATCTTTGTGTTAATTTACTATTGGATCACTGATATAAATATTCAAAGAACTGTGTTTACTGCCCATTTGCGCTAATATCACCGAGCGTACAGTTTGACGCCGGAGTAGTCTCTCTGTTGCTTGGTCGCAGTCTGCAGTAGAAGTGTTACGCGTGAGATCATGTACTCTGTGAGTGACTAAATGCAGATTAAGGACTTACTGCTAGCACTGAAATGGGGACATTGTGACCCTAGCATTTTCTTAACCCTATAATTTGGTTTTACTGTGAAAATTTAGGAGAAAAGGGTTTTTTGGGCGAAATTGGTGAATTGGAACACTAGGTGGCACTTAAACACAGCTAACAGAGGCACTTAAATCTTGCAACACACAAAACCAGTCACACACATTCTGTTCTAACATGCAGTTAATTATATCCTCAAAATGATGTCTTGGATTGATATTACTAAACAAACATGTATAAAATGTAATTACAGACAAGTGAAATAAATACTGTAGGCTTATAATTGCAAGATATGTTTTTTGCTTGTAATATGCTACACACCTGTGCGTAGTTTATATAGCTAGTATTTTATTTTGTCATTTTTACTAACATGTAGAATGGCGCGGTTTAGCTTTATGTGCTTTTATTTACTGGTACCAGTTTTTGCCATATGTCAGTTTCTAAAAAATGGAATGTTTTTATGTAATGGGATTTTAAACCGGGAGTATTTCAAAGGAAAAACAGTAAGGAGTTTTTCATATGAAACCACTTCAAAACTTTTTTTAAAAAATGTATATATTTTATGTGTTTTTCTAATTGCTTTGCTTTACTTACCTTTTGGAGGTACACCTCTATTGCTATAGTAGCTTAATATCCACTTGGAGGTACAAAGTCTATCTGTTCATAAATATTTCTGAAGTGATACCATTGCTAAAATATACCAGGCCTACAGGACAGTCTAAGAGCCATAAAATCCCATCAGAGCATTTTGTGGCCATCACCTCGGCTTCGGGCAGTTCTTCCTATCAGCTGCAGAAGGTCGGCAGAGTTTCAGTCAACTGCACAAGCCCTGTGCAAAGCTGCTTTAAGTTACAACAAGCTAAAAAGGCAAAGGCGTGCAAGGAAATGTCCTCCCAGTGCAGGAGCAAGCTAATAAAGCATCAAACCTAGAAAGTACAAGAACTGATTTCTCATTCCTCTTTCCTCTCACGTTCCATATTCAGGGAGTTTCTCAGCCTTACTGTTGGCAGGTCCCATACTGTTCTCTGTTCAGGGTTACAAATGGATGTCTTCTCTGTGGTAGTAAGATTAGAGCTGAGATAAAGCTCATAAATGGTGGGACAACCCAACCACAGTTCCTGTCTTTGCATTTTGTTATTTGGCAGCTGAAGATGTGTGTTTGGTGTGGGACAGAGAGTTACACGTGTGGAAGTCACACTTTGTTGAAAGAAAATTTCCAATGTGTTACTGTATGCCTCGAAAAACTAATGTGAACAACCTGTGTGTGCTTGTTCGAATTGCCCCCAGACACCAGGAGACCCGTTTCAGGTGAACCAGGACCCAAAAAACAAACCAGGATGGGCAGAGCACCCGTCAGCTGGTGCAAAAATCGTTGTCCAAAGTAGAGACAGCTGAGTCAAATTCAGAACAAGAGTTGGAAAACCTATAGCCCAGGGAAGAACCAACAGCTGTGAGTGTGAGGGCACAG